TGGTCCATTAGTCCTTTGGACTAATTATTTCCTTGAGTCTTTGATTTTCTTCACTTTTCTTTGCTCCAGGTGGGGAGAGACCAATAATTACATCTTAGATGGCCACTTTATACTTACAGTTTACCTGGAATTAATTTTTGTAGAAGGTTGGAATCCAATTTCACATTTTCTCTAAATTTATACTCATTTGGTCCTGCAGTGTTGTTATATCAGGTTTGAAAATATGCATGTTTCTTTTGGGGCTCTGTCTGAGCCATCAGTCTTTGTCTCTGAACAATATAGCACTGTCTTAATTACTATAGCTTTATAATATGTCTCGATATGTAGTAGGGCACTTCTTCTCAAGTGTGTCTTGGCCAGTTTTGGCCTTTTTTACTTCTACATAAATTTTAGAATCACCTTATCAAATTGCACTACAGAAATAAAAAACACAACCAATTGGGATTTTGATTGCATGGAGTTTATAAACCTTTTTAGGAAGAATTGACATCCTTAAGATACTGAATCTTATAATCCTTGAACAAGATATGTTGTTGGGTGCCATCAAGTTGATTCTGACTCATAGTACCCCGTGTGACAGACTAGAACTGCCCTATATAGGGTTTTCTTGGCTGTAATCTTTGTGGAAGCAGATCGCCAGTCTTTTTCCTAAAGAGCTGGGTAGGTTCCAACTGCCAGCCCTTCGATTAGAAGCTGAGAGTATTTATTCCTTGTGCTACTAGGACTTCTTTAATAAGATATATTTTTCCGTTTAAGTCATATTCATTTCTTCCAATAACCTATTGCCTATTAAAGGTCAAGTCTTGAAAGTAAAACCTTAAAAGAGGTTTACTTTAATCACCTTACTTTAATCTTTTTGATTATTCTTTTTCCTATTTACTGTGCCTAAGCTCTGGTGGTATAGTGCCTAAGGCATTTGACTGCTAACCAGAAGGTTGGCACTTCAAACCCACCAGCCACTCCACAGAAGGAAGACTGGGCACTCTACTTACGTAAAGATTTACTGCCTCAGAAACCCAAAAGGTGTCGCTATGAGTTGAAATCGACTCAATGGCAGTGAATTTGGGTTTTTTTGATTATGCCTAAGTGAAAAGTATGTACAGTCTAAAGGTTGCATAAAGTTTACCATTAGAAGTTAAACAGTTTTCCATTAGTAATTTTATTTCTTGTTGTCATTCTGATTATAATTTGATATCCTGCAGAAAGAGATGATGCTGACTGGAGAGCCTGTTCCCTTCATCAGTTTTTTCTCACTTTTGACATTCTTGTTAATATTACAGTCTTTACACATCTAAAGAGTATGGGTCTGTTTGTAAAAAACCAGTCTACTCTTATGTGTAAATACAAAAGAGTATTTTAAGGCTGAGAGGGTCATTCCCTAAATTTTGATGAATTCACCAAGTTAAATGCTGCTTTGCAGTGACTTGTCCCAGCTGCCTGCCAACTTCCCTCAGAGAGATTCTCTTTCAAGGTTTTACAGAATCTAATTGTAATGATACTGCTGGATAGAGGTGTTATTTTAGGGACATTTTTGCATGTTCGTATATGTCATGTAACTAGAAGAACAGTAAAGACAAACTGAATATGGAGTTAACTCCAGGTTACAAAAACCAAACTCACTGCCATAGAGTAGATTCTGACTCATAGCAGCAACCCCTACAGGATTTCCAAGGCTGTAAATCTCCAGATTGGGCATTCTGATAAAGGGATTTTGGAGAGAAACATCTAGGTGAGCTGATAGTATGACTATTTACTATGTATATACATGCTATAGTGTTTACGGACAGACATTCTTCAAGGAGTTTACAGTCTGATTAGAAGGATATCATATACTCAAGAGATACTTAAATGATACAAAAACAGTGTGTGGTTAGGGAGTTATAATGAATCCAGTGCTTTCAACAGAAGTGCTGAAGGAAACTGGAATATAGAGTGATTTGAAATAAAATATTGTTGTTGTTGTTGTTGTTATGTGCTGTTGAGTCAAACCCGACTCATAGCGACCCCTCCTTGGGTTTCCCAGGCAGTATCACTACGGAAGTAGGATTGCCCAACCTTCCTTCTGAGGAGTGGCTGGTGGATTTGAACCGCCAGCCATCTGGTTAGTAGGCAAGTGTCTTAGCCACTATGCTACTTTAACATTTACCCCAATTTTGAAGGAAGACTGGGCAGTCTACTTCCATAGAGATACTGCTTCAGAAACCCAAGGAGGGGTCACTCTGAGTCTGAATCAACTTGAAGGCATGAGTTTGGTTTGATTTTTATAATTATTAATATTTCTTTTATCCTCTAGCCTGAAAATTCCATGAGGGCAGAAGCTTTGTCTTATTTGCTGTATCTCTAGAGTGTTTGTATGTGTATGTATGCATAAAATTCTTTACATTGTGATATATATTGCTTGATGTCCACGGTATGTTCTGCAAATGGCACGTTATGTGATTTGGCCATTGTGCAAAAACCCCTGTGTCCACAAGGCTCCTGGGCCCACTAGCCCAGGCGCTGCTGTGTGTTGTGTGGCTGGGGCAACTCCTGTTATGGACGCTTCTGGTGAACGTTTGGCTGGCACTTGGCTAACATTGCTGTCTCTGCTAAGCTAGCTCCAGCTTGCCCTTGAGAATCTGCCCTGGGAGGGGTTGGTGTGGGTCAAAGGAGCTGAGAGTGCCCGAACAGGGGCCACTTGGAGTATACCTTTCCATCAGTACCCTGTGGGACCACACAAGGCAATCATAGAACTAGATTTGCCAAGTGGTAGAAGAGGGTAGAAGTGGGAGGAACCAAGGCTGGGAGTTTGGGCCAGACCCCAGCAGCCAGGCAGAAGTGGGTCTCCAAAGGGGCACTCTGACAAGAGTCTAGCACCCTGGCACTCAGACACCTGGGTGCCCCACCCCACAGATAGACATTAAAGAACACATGCCTGTAGTTGACTTTTGATACATATGTGTTGAATAAATAAATAAAATGGATCTTTAAAGCTTTTGAAGGATGGCTCATATAGGCACTGTTAAATTTGTGTGTGTTTTTTGTTCCTCACAACAAATACTGTGGTATGGGAATGTTATCAATTTGAAAATGAAAAACACTACTTAGGTTAAGGTTGTATTAGAATTAGGTTCGTACAGCTTCTGTGCACTTCACTACTCATTACAAGTGTTGTTGTTGTTGTTGTTATGTGCCTTCGAGTCGTTGAGTCAGATCCGACTCATAGCGACCTTTCTGAGGCGATACCACTACAGAAGTAGATCGCCCAGCCTTCCTTCTGAGGAGTGGCTGGTGGGTTTGAACCACCAAACTTCTGGTTAGCAGTCAAATGCCTTAGGCACTATGCTACTAGAGCTCCTAAACCAAACACACTGCTTTCCAGTCGGACCCGACTCATAGCGACCCCTCCTTGGGTTTCCAAGGCAGAATCACTACAGAAGTAGATTGCCCAACCTTCTTTCTGAGGAGTGGCTGGTGGGTTTGAACCACCAGCCTTCTGGTTAGCAGTCAAATGCCTTAAGCATTATGCCACCAGAGCTCCTTCCGTTACAAGTAGGAAAACAATATTGAATGAGCACAATCAAGAATGAATTTATGACTAGTCACAGAAATGTGAGGGAATAGCAGAAAATGAATTAAGAGAGTTGACTTAAATTATTGAAAGCTTTGAAACATCCTGGAGGATGTTGGAGATTTATCTTGAAGACCATGGGACAATGACCTCGGATATTTTGAGCAGGATAAAACAACACAGTTAGGAAACAGGCTGTTTTAACAATTCTGTTGTTGTTGTTATTTGCTGTCTAGTCGGCCCCGACTCATAGCGACCCCTCCTGGTTTCCAAGGCAGTATCACTATGGAAGTAGGATTGCCCAACCTTCCTTCCCAACTTTCCTTTCGAGGAGTGGCTGGTGGGTTTGAACCGCCAGCCTTCTGGTTAGCAGTCAAGTGCCTTAGGCACTATGCTACCAGAGCTCCTTAACAATTCTAGTGTGAGATAATTAGTTGATCTAAAGCAATAGCAGTCATGATAAAAGGAAAGCGGAAAGATTTGTAGTATTCACTGATTTGAGAGTGAAAGAAAACTAAGTCTTAAGTTATAGTGACTGACTAGAAAAACCTTAATACGAGTTAAACAGAATAAACCAATTTTATAAAGAGTCGACTTTGTGTAAGTTCTATAGTGGAAATAATGGCAGAAAACTTTGCAAATTTTATTCTCCAGTTGAAAATAAGGAATTTTAGGTTAAGAGATCAGGACAAGACTAGCAAGAAAAGTTAGCAGGCAGGTTGGGGGTGGTTTATTTTGGAATTGGTGGTTGTTATGTGGCATCGAGTCAGACCTGAGTCATAGAGACCCCTCTTTGGGTTTCCGAGGCGGTATCGCTGCGGAAGTAAATTGTCTAACCTTCCTTCCAAGGACTAGCTGGTGGAATTGGTATTCTCAGTCTTCGAAGCTGCTTAAGGAATACTTTTAGAACACCCAGAATTTACAATTTGAGTCCGAGAAACATATTTCTGAATACCTGAAGTGCATTCTCAAGCAGTCTTTTTTTTCCCCATTATTATTTTTTTTACCCTTGTAACTACTGTAGTTTCAGACAAGGAAACATATACTTTGTATGTAAGTCATACACTTTTATTAACCCTGGAGCCATGCTTAGATTTTGCCAGCCAAATTTGCTCTTCCCCCTCCATTAACTGAAAAATGTCCTTGTTGTTTACAGTAGATAATTGGCATAAATTTCTAATTCTGTTATCTTCAGAAGAAAGATCATTTTGTGTTTGTTCTTTACAACTAAATTGATACCAAATTTAACTCCAACTGGATTGATGCCAAACTTGGTTTCTTTGCATGATTGAGACAAATAATAACTATCTTATTTTATCGAAACCACTCCTTTCGGTGTATCGTTCCTTTGCTCAGAGATAATTATTACAGAGACATTATTTCATTACCAATAAAATCCTTAAAATTGATAAATCCTTTGTAACCTTGACGTGTTTTCTTTGGCCTCAAGCTTGCAGATCAGTTTTGTAATGCCATTGGAGTGTTGCAGCAGTGTGGTCCTCCTGCCTCTTTTAGTAATATTCAGACAGCAATTAATAAGGATCAGCCAGCTAATCCTACAGAAGGTAAATAGAGTTGTTGTTTTTGTTCTTGTTGTTTTTTGACTTGTCTCTGTTTGATTCTCATATTTCTTACAGTACTTTAATATTTATTGAGAAATTCAACTGATTTTTATTAAGGCTTTTTTCTAAAAATGTTGTTTGAGGATATTACTGCAAATATTATATGTCATAAAAGAAGTTAATTTATTAGGTCATTTCACATGTAATAGTTCATTTCAAATATCAGATTATCACTCATTTAGAGGAGCATTTGTAGAATTTATCTGAATTTACTTGAGGGACTTAATAAAGGAAGACACTCCATTTACAAATTTATTCAAATCTCAGCTTTATTGTCCTAATAAACAGAATAACATGCTTAATTCTCATTTTCAGTTAATGTTAAGGTTAATTCTGAGTTACATATGCAGTAGGGTTAGTGTCTAACATTATATATTAATCATTAGAACCCTGGTACTAAAAATGTTACATGAAGTTTTTTGTTTCATTAACTTATAACTTAGTTTTGGTTTCTGAAAACTCAGATTTTTTAATATCCTCATTTGATATCTTTCTGTAGAGTATGCCCAGCTTTTTGCAGCACTGATTGCACGAACAGCCAAAGACATAGATGTTTTGATAGATTCCTTACCAAGTGAAGAATCTACAGCTGCTCTACAGGTAAATATCACTTTTCCTTCAAGAACTTTGGTGTTAGTGAGAGTTGTGAGTTAAAGGAGATAGATTAATATCTTCTATAATAATATTCATGGAGCTCTGCTGGCACAGTTGTTAAAGCATATGGCTGCTAACCAAAAGGTCAGCAGTTCAAATCTACCAGCCACCCCATGGGAGAAAGATAAGGTTGTTGGCTTCTATAAAGATTTACAGCTTTGGAAATCCTATGGGGCAGTTCTACTCTGTCCTACAGAGTTACTGTGAGTCAGAAACAACTCGATGGCAGTGGGTGTAGTGTTGGTTTTGTAGTAATGTTCAAAGTTACTTTAAATAAGAGTTTTATTAATCGTGAGCCTATGTAGCCTATAGATAACTATGCGAAATATAAATATGTGTGTGTGTATTTGTCCAATTTTATATTGTAAGGAAATCTATTTTCCTCTATTTGTTTCTTTTCCTAGCAAAGAATTAAGAGGAGAATAGCATTCAGGGTGAGGAGTAAAATAGTAGTATCTAAAGCAGTGTAGAAAAGAATCACATACAGATATCCAGAGACCTCTAATTGAAAATTCATTTTTTAAAAATAATTCATAGAAAAGTGTTAAAAGTTGCCTGATTTTTAAAAATTTTTGCCTCTGAAAAATTTCCACAAAGTTTGGAAATTTATCCAGATTTAGACATAAGTAGTTCTGCTGCAGTTTCTTTCCTTCTCAACTGTTTGTAATTTATAAATTTTTCATTTCTATAAAGATTTAAAAATTTGCTCTTTATAAAGGCTGCTAGCTTGTATAAGCTAGAAGAAGAAAACCATGAAGCTGCTACGTGTCTGGAGGATGTTGTTTATCGAGGGGATATGCTTCTGGAAAAGATACAAAGTGCACTTGCTGATATTGCCCAGTCACAGCTGAAGACAAGAAGTGGCACCCACATGCAGTCTCTTCCAGACTCATAGTGCCACCATATCCCACATGGCTGAGAAAAGAACTATTACAGTGCAGCTAAAAATTGTGCATCAGATTTAGATGTGAGCCTTACCAACAGCTACGAAAGCATTAAGCACTATGATGTGTGTTACCTTTTTAGCAATTTTTAATAGTCTTCTATTTTCACTCTTGATAAAAAAAACTTAGGAAATTGTGATTGAATCTGCTTTAAGCTTTCATATACCATCATTTTTATTAGCTAATGAAGTTATTGAGGCAGATATTACATTCATTGTTATAATTAAACAGATCCACTATGAAATTCTGTTGTGATGTGATTTCTATCTTTATTTTATTTATCATATTTCTACAGTTATTTTACAAATCAAAACATCCATCAAGTCAAAGAAGTGGTAAGTGTAGAGTTAAGGGATATTTCGATGTAGTTTGGTATCCTTTTGTCTCTTTAGAGGTGGTACTACTGTATAAATGTGGAGCTTTGAGCAAGGAAAATTTCTAAAACTGTTGCTTTTAAGAAACTGAAAGAGGGTTAGTGTGGCTGGATGAGAGATTGGGACACTTTTCTGCAAGCACTTTCCTTTTCTTGGATGCCCTGCCCCCATCCTCATTCATCTTTACATTTTTCCACCAAGAAATCCTCTTCTCTGTATGTGGAATTCCCTTACTATTATGAGAAAAGTTTTCTTTGTCCTGAACTATTTTTCCTGTATCTTTTCACTTGCTTACCTTTTTGATCCTTCTCCTTAATTTATTTGTTAATACTGTAACACTTGAGTCATTGATCCTTTTTTACTCTTTTTACTTACCTGAATGTACTAGTTTTATTTCTCAGTCTTTATTGCTGAGAACATACTTCTGCTGTATTATTTACTTCACTACCATTTTGTCCATTCCGCCTCAGCTTGTTAGTGTTAGTGTTTGTGTTGTTGTTGTTGTTGTTGTTATGTGCCGTCGAGTCGGCCCCGACTCATGTGTTAGCATTCTCAATTATAATTACTTATCTAATTCTTGGATCTCCTTAAATCCATTGAGTATCTCCACTGGCAAGGTGAAGTTGGAATGTTTCACATTGCAACTGATTCTATTTCCTGAGGCTGCATTTTTTCAAAATATTCTGAGCTACATATATAACAGTCAATTGCTAACCAGAATTTAAATTTCTGGAGAAAGCTCAAGGACAATAGTCCAAACTTTTATACATTGCTGATGGGATTGTAAGATGGTACCACCACTATGGAAAACAATATGGTGCTTCCTCAAAAAGCTAGAAATGGAAGTATCTTATGATCCAGCAATCCCAGATATTCTAGAGGTATAAGGACAGTGACATGAGTAGACATATGCACACCTATAGTCATTGCAGCATTTACGGTAGGAAAAAGATACAAACAACCTAAGTGTCCATCAGTGGATGAATAGGTAAACACAAAAATTGTGAACCATACATACAGTACATATATACAGTGAAATACTATGCAACTATAAAGAGTATGTGACATGGATGAATATGCATTTATACTTACTATGTAACCACATATTTTTTGGTTTCTATTTTTGTTGCAAAACTGTATATACCATTTATTGAAATTGTGCTTTTTTCTGTTGTACTTCTTAGTGTCTTTATTTACCTTGGTCAAGTTGTGCTGACTTCATCTATATTTGCAATTGCCTTTTCCATCACCAAAAATGACAAGTGTCTACTACCTAAAAAGTGATTCACCCTCCTTCTCCCATCCATCCCCGGCAACCATCATTGAACTTTGTTTTCCTTGTGTATATCTATTCTTGACTTTTTATAATAGTGGGAAAATACTTGTCTTTCTGTGTTTGACTTACTTCATTAAGCATAATATCCTCTAGATTCATCCACACTACATGTAGAGGTGTATATGTAGACATGTGTATACACACAAACCAAAAAATATGTGTATGGTTACATAAGTAAATATGAATGCATGTATGTGTATAGGAGGGCATATGCGAATAAATGGCACATGCATGTATAGGTGTATATGTAAGCATATGTGTATCCATGTATGTGTGTGCTATATACATATCCACATATATAACAAACCACATCGGGGGCACAGTTGCAAAGTCTTCCTAGACATATCCAAACAACAACTATTGGTTTACTTGTATGGAGCAAAAGACAATGAAGAAAAAGTTTCAAAGAAGAACACTAATCCATGGGACTAATGTTACATGCCGTTAAGTCGGCTCCAACTCATAGCAACCCTATGTATGTATAATAGAACTGCCCAGTCCTTGCCATACCTGAGCCCATCGTTGCAGCTACTGTGTCCATCCATCTCATTGAGGGTCTTCCTCTTTTTTGCTGACCCTCTACTTTACCAAGCATGGGACTAACCCACACAAATTGCAACCTTTTCTACCCTCAGACCAGAAGAACTAGATGGTGGCTGGCTACCACTACCAACCAACTGTTTTGAGCAGGGGCAAAATAGAAGGTCCTGGGTAGAATGAGAGAGATGTGTACAACAAAACAAATTTCTAAAAAAGGACAGAGCTACTGGACCAATAAGGATTAGAGGAACCCCCAAGATTATTGCCCTAAGATACTATTTAAACTTGGAATTGAAGCTATTTCTGCATGTCATATTTCAGCCAAATAATAGATTGGTTGATAAAATAGTATGACCCATAAGTAATATGCTCCCTTAAACAATTAACTATATGAGACCAAATGGGTAAGAGTTCCTTGAAAGCAGGAAGGGAAAGGGAAGCTAGATCAATGGAAATAAGAGAAAGCTAACACATTATAAAAATTTTAACCAATAGCATGGAACAATTTATATAAAAATTGTTAAAGGAAACCTGATTTGCTATATAAACTTTCATCTAAATAAAATTTTTGGAAAAAAAAGTGTGAGTTCTGCAATCATGGGAGAATAGAAGGGCTGTATATGCACAGGAAGACAGCTCATGGGGCAGGAGTGCCTGGGAGGGAAGGACACAGGGAAGAGATAACTATGGGGAGGAAGTAAGGAGGGGCGCTGTTGCATTGTGGTAAATTGTCAATGTCATAAGACTTAAGTGTATGTGAGCCGCTGTATGGAAAGTGAATTTGCTCTGTGAAGTTTAACCCAAATCACACACACAAAGTACAGAAAACTTCCATATAACTCCTCACCCCCTATACACTCCTATTATTAACATCTTGCATTTTTGCGTTACATTTGTTATAATTGATGAACCAATTAAAAATACTTATTTTTGTGGTTAAAAAAAAAAAAGTCTGAGTTCTGGAACTGCCTGTTATTTCCATAATAATTAAGCTGTCTCACAGTATTGAAAAATACTGTGATTCAAAGTTCAGGAGCACCAGCATTGATTGGCTCAAAAAGCACATTGTTGGCTATTCCTAGAAATTTTAGATTTTTTCTTTTTTTGTGTGTGTATTGTCATTGAAGTTTAATAAAAGCACTTTGATATCAGACATTTGACATGCATCTGTATCCTTTATAGTTACTGGGGGAGAGAAGATAGGACCAGAAAACTCTTTCAAAATATATATGTTATGGAGGCGGGGCAAGATGGCGGACTAGGCAGAAGGATTGCACAGACCCTCTTCAACAAAGAAAAAAACCAATTAATACAGACACAGAAGATAATCTTGGACCCCTGAGCCTTGAAGGAAAGGATGCAGATTTGGACTAAACCCCAACTAGCAGAAGAATTTGCGTGAAA